TTAGCTTTTTTTTTGTTTGTTTCAGAGGCTGCTTTGAGCCAGAGACAGGGAAGGTTTTTTTCTTGCCTCCAGGGATTCCTAAGATAGAACACACATGATGGAATGTGTGATTTGATGACAGGCCCCTCTGATAGGTTGAAGAGAACCATCTAAGCCAGGCACAGTCATCTGTCCTGTTGAAGAAGCACAAGTTTCTTTTATTAATTTGAGAGAAGGGGATTGTTGGGGACCAAGAACTATCAATCAGAAAGTTTTTCAGGGTCCATGCCTCCAGCTCCATCTTTCAGAAACCTGAACCTCCATTGTATTGCAGATGCTAGATAATTGCTGCCAGGTGGCATGGCCTCAGTGAAGAATGTCTCCTAGTTTGCATTAGAACAGGGCTAGACCTTGAATGGGCCACACCTGTGCTGAGAGATTTGCCTACATGCCTAAAGACCTTTTTTAGGTGTGCTGCTAGGGTAAAATGATGACTCAATAGTAGATGCACACAAGTGGACACCTTGACTGTTGGAAAGCAGCTTAAGAGGATGATAGAATAAATTGGAGACTCCAGTTTTCAGATGGACTGAGAGGGCCTCCAAAAAATGACAAGATGTCTGTGTGCCTGGTCTTTATCACCATTGGGTAGCAAGGAGTTTTCAAGTTCATGCTCCCCCACTCAGGGATGAACCTGTGGCTATTTGTATCACAGCCCCCAAGGACATCAGTCTGGAATAGATAGCCTCTGTAGTGTGGGACTGATACAGGCCCCACCCTGTGGTTTCTATGGCATGGGACTGATACAAGCTGGACCCTAGCAGTCCAAGATGGAAGAACATAACCAAATATGTACACCACTACCTCCAGAGCTCCGGGGACATTTTAGAAAAGGAGGTGTAAAAAATGTTAAAGCCAGACAGAGGGATGAAGTGTTGTGTAGTCAGTTCCTTTATACTTCAACATTCCTTTCTAGAGTTACATATGGCTCAGAAAAAATAAAAATAAAAAAAATGAAGCAAAAGACTTGGGAAACTCCCTAAAATTTCAAGGTTTATAAGATCCTGCTTAAAGTCAGAGAAGCAGTGACACTTTCTAGAGAAAGGGGGTTTCCTAGCTGGCTCAGGTATCAGCTAGTTATTCATGAGTAGTTACCAGTGCTGGGTGGACTTCTCATTATGCAATTACCTTTTCTTCCCTATGCTCCTGCTAGTCTCCCTTTACACAGGATCCTGTTAATAAACACAATAAACCCAAGTTTGTTAAGTTAGACTCAGATGGAATTATTTCTTTGGTCAGTTATTGTTGCCTTCTCTGGGATGAGTCAACATCTGCTCACATCTCTGTACAAAACATCACACTATGTCTTGTGTTCTCAATGGCCATCAAGCATGAATCATCTATGGCAGAAAGACAATGCCTTAGAGTTTAGGTAAACCCTAGCCAATGGGAAAGAGAAGAAAGAACTGAGTTTTGAAAAGAAGTTTCTGGTACACCATTTCATGGGCTAATCTGCACCAGCTCCATTTGATCATTTGGTAAAGTATGTGGGCCAGCATATGTATGTGCTGACTGCACTGTTTTCTCTTGCTTCTGTTTTGTGATGCATTTGGCAAAAAAAATTCTCACTGACTGAAAATTTTCCTCATAAATCAAAATTTCCATATTTAATGCAAATATCATAGAACTACTTTCCTTTGATGTAAAACAAGCAGATATTTTAAACAATGCTATATAAGACTGAATGAAAGAAAGTAGGTTAGAGGGATAGACGTAACCAGTGTGGTAGAACATGTCTTTAATTGCAGTGCTCAGGGGCATAGGGAGGTGTATCTCTGTGAGTTTGAAGTCAGTCAGGTCTACATAGTGAGTTCCAGGATAGCTAGGCCTACATAGACAGACATTGTCTGAGAGTACCACCAGTCACACCAGGTCTGGTCACAATACAGAGAGAATGTCTATCCCTTAACACACTTCATCTTCTTCAGCATACGGAACATGCCTTGCTTTGATTTTTTGTTCCATGAAATTAGAAGAAAAGGATGCCTATATGAATTGAAAAATACCAGGTTATGAGAAAAAGGCTTCACCAACAAATTGTCTACAATGTAGACAAGATCTTAAAAGACAAGATCATCAGAACGTTGCTTATCAAATGGTTAAGAAAAAAGAGTAGAAATGAGACCACAATTTTCCAGATTTTATATGGGCCATCTCTAACATAATCTCAACATAAATGGCCTGCAGTTTCATTCTTCTGGTGCGGCTTCATAGCAAAATCATTAGAAGGAAAAGCAAAATCAAACACACTACAAAATGTTGATAAGAAACAGTAAGAACATGACATGCTAAGGAAACATCTACGGTCTCCATAAAATCAATTGATATTTTTTCCAGTTTTGACCATTCTTGAATAAGGTCAATGTTTCCATGGAAATCGGAAACATTGATCCATAGAGTATTGTTACAGAGACAATCACAGAAGTTCCTTTTATTTTTTGTCTCATCCACAGAAAAGGGGTATTAAAGCAGTTGCCTGTTTAAAGGGAACAGAAGACAGTGAGGTAGGTGGTGCAAGCTATGCAGAAGCTATCACTGGATCCAGAAGATTTCAAAATTAGAATGACCACCCATAGACTGAAATAATTTCCCATAGCTTGTGTCAAAAGAGATGCACACAACTAGTATCCGCAAAACCATATCCTAGAGAGATTCAAGCAGGAGAGGATAACGTCAACTGAGGAAATCTTCTGGCTCCTGGCCCAGTCATTTTATCAACGTGATGAATTCATTTCCAAAAATTTCCACTATGAATTCTGCAACTGAAACCGTCATCAGTAAAGTTTCTAGCACAGTGGGCATGCTGATCATAGGAAATCTCTGCCTTCCTTCATCAGAAATTGACACATTTCAAATTCAGGAGTATAAATAGGAGTATGCGAACCTGAGATGTGTGGTGAGTGTTGTCCTTCTGGTATTCAGAAAACTCAGGAAGCATGTTCCAAGTGAAATCTTATTTAAATAGTAAAATCTACACCTGCTTTCTTTTTTTATTTTTTATTAGTTCAAATTAGGAACAAGCTTGTTTCACCTATCAATCCCTTCTCCCTCTCCCTCCCCTCACCCCCACCTCTCCTCCCCCACCCCATCCACCCTCCACTCCCCAGGCAAGGTAGGGCCCTCAACTGGGGCTCCCCAAAGTCCACCACATCATCCTGGGTCTGGCCTAAGCCCATCCCCATGTGTCCAGGCCAAGAGTGCATCCCTTCACGTGAGATGGGCTCTCAAAGTCCCTTCTTACACCAGGGAAAAATACTAATCCACTACCAGGGGCTCCCTAGAGTATGCAGGCCTCCTTATTGGCATCCATGTTCAGGGGACTGGATCAGTCCTGTACTGGCCTCCCAGACAGCAGTCTGGGATCGATGTGCTCCCTCTTGTACAGGCCAGCTATTTCTGTGGGTTTCACCACCCTGGTACAGAACCTTTTGATCTTCATTCCTCCCTCTCTTCAACTAAGTTCCAGAGTCCAGTTCAGTGTATGTTTGTGGATGTCTGCCTCTGCTTCCATCAGCCACTGGATGACAGCTCTAGGATGGAATAAAAAGTAGTCATCAATCTCATTTTAGGGGAAGGGCGTTTAGGTTATCCTCTCCACCATTGCCTGGGTTGTCAGTTCTACACCTGCTTTTTAAAAAGGATATCAACTAATGATTTTCAAGTAAAAAAAAATGTTTTCTTGGGGCTCTTGGCATCAGTTATATTTTACATACACGTTTTGAATTGAAATCTGAAGCTAGGCTGTTTGTTGAAGCTGGGGATTCAAACTCAGATCCCCAAGCTTGCAAAGAATCACTTTACTGAATCATCCCCCCAGTTCCTAGAGTCTAGTTTTTAATATTCGTGTGTGTGTGTGTGTGTGTGTGTGTGTGTGTGTGTGTGTGTGTGTGTGTGTAGCTTCTCTAGGTTTGATTGCTATTAAGTTCATTTAATTTTTTTACTTCCAAAATAATATGATAAAGATCAAAAAATTGTTTCAGTGTGTGAATATTTTGCTTATGCCCATAATGACATTGATTTAAGATAACTCACTGGATTCAAATATAAATCATCAGCCTACTAACTTTTCAGTTAACAGGAATATGTTATTGTGTGGTGGCACGTCTTTAATCCCAGCACTCAAGAGACACAGGCAGGCAGATCTCTATGGTGATATATTGTTTATGATTTATTAAAACTTGCCTGATGAGTCAGAAAGCAAAGTCATCCACAAGCCTTAGAAGCCAGACACATATCTTTAATCCCAGCAGCCAGAAAATAGGAGGTGGTGGTACAAATATTTAATCCTACAACTCAGGATTAAGAGGCAGAAGGATTTCTGTGAGTACAAGGCTGCCCAGGAATACACATGATAGAATCAGTCTAAAAGAGAATTATAGCTCACACCTTTAATCCCAGCATTAGGGAAGTATATAAGACAGAAGCAAGGTCTCAGTGAGGGATTCAGTTTCCAAACACATTGAATAGTAGAGACATTCATTCTCCAGCCATGCCAAGGAGAGATTGAAGTCTGAGGTGTGGTGAGATCTTGTGGAGACAGGATCAGCCCATTCTGTCTGAGGTAGAGGTGACAGCTAGTGGCCAACTGCTTTGCTTTTCTGAAATTCAGCTTGAAGTTTGAAGCCCAATATCAGTGTCTGGGTCATTTGTTTTTCATGTTACAGATCTCTGTGAGTTCAAGGCCAGGGCGGTCTACAGAGTGAGTTCCAGGACAGTTAGGACTTTTTCCCAGAGAAACACTGTCTTCGAAAAAAAGTATATATTCATAAAATCTGATTCTTAAATCTCTATATAAGAGCACACTGTTTTAGTATTGTTCTAAATTTTTGAGGGATTTATCATGTATAGAAGAAGCTAGAAATTATTTATTTTTAAATATTTATGCTTTCCTAGGGCTGTACCGCTGAGTGAGTTCTATATGCCTAATATGCTGTTTAACTGCTTCGTCGAACAGTGAATTTCTAATGCTTTGGCCCACATCTCAGCTGCCTCAGCACCAAATGACAGGCCTGCCTTAAGTTAGCATGTCCCAGAATCAAGATAAATGAGTGGCCTGAAGGGTAGAAAAGCCCAATAGTTAGGCTAAGCATATGATCTAGTCCTTTTTGGTGTGTCATAGGAATCAATGATATAAAAAAGGATATGAAATAAGAGGCATAGAGCAAGAGGAAGGAGACCATAATTCTCAAGGCATTCATGTGGGCTTTAGTGCTGGGGTCTTGTTCTCCTCTGAAATTTAGCTGCATCTTCTGGCAATGTTTCCACAAGGAGACGATTAGCAGGATGAAGGAGAACAGGGCCACCATGAATGGTGTTAAAGAGAACATAATCATCTTGAGTAAGACTAGCTCTGAAAACCTCTGAAACCACTCGTTCTGGAATTCCAGGTTGTGTTTCTCTCATATTGATACATCCACTCTTCTATATGTTTGTTTACTTGTATTAGGTTGAAAAGCAAGAAGATTGCATTTCCCAGAAGGATTGTCAGAAGCACTTGCTTTACTCTCCACTTCAGATAGAGGAAAACAGGCCTGGAGAAACTGGCTATTTTGAGCAAATAAAAGATGCTGAGGATGGTGGCAAGCCAGAGACTGAAGTGATTGGAAATTACCCAGGTCAACATAATAACCTTTACTTCTGTTCCGGCCATAAATGAAAATGAATACTGCAGATATTTTACCCAGGCTAGTAACATTTCCAAGATCAAAACCATTCTGGAAATGGCCAAGAAAAGCAGGATCCAGCCAATGGAGGAAAGAGTTCTTTTCCTGACCCAGTCAATGAAGTGTGTCAGTACTATGAATCCATTGCTCAGATTTCCAAATATAAACTCTGCAACCATTACAACAGTGAAGAAGTTATGCAGTGTACTTCCCATGTCCAGACAAAGATGATACACTGCTGGTCATTTGCTAAACTCAAATGGCTTGTGTATTCTGAAACCCACACTATGCTCTCAACTTTTGCTTCTTCTGTAATGACTGACCTGGTGTTGAAGAGAGAATTGAAGGTTTGCTAATGATTCTGCATATGTTCTTGTGAAATCTTTTTTTTTTCTGATCTCACTGAGGGCTAAGATATTTATATCCTTCTAGAGTGTGAAGTGTGGTACCGAAGATCACGAACTGCATCCAGGTGTTATTTGCTAACATGCAAACAAACTTATATTCGCTTCCACTCTTTCATTGTTTTGCATAGTCACTGCTGAAGAAAATTTGATTATGGCAGCTTAAGTTATGGGGGACAAAATAGCAACAATGTGATTCACCCAAAATGCAGCTAAGTGTATACTCTGAGTCTATCAACATCACTACCGATGACTTATGGAAAATAGAGTGAGTGCTCGATAGCACTCCATGAGTCCTCAGTTTCACATGGAGCTCTAGCTCCAGTTTTTCAAGATGTCTGTTACCACCCAGTGATGCTTGCAATGTCTAGGAACCACATGCTCTCACATTTTATCTACTATGAAATATTTCATAGTTATATATTATAACTAATAATGTATTTTAAATGATATGAAGTAAAATATCCATGAATATGTATGTATAATATTATTACAAAAACAAAGATCATGAGTTTAGATTTATATTTTTCATGTTAAACATTTAATCCTTTAAGTGTTCCTTTGTCAATTCTCTTAAAAGTTACATATCTAAACTATCTCTAGTTCTGTTTCATATTTCATATTAATAAAAACATCATTAGCAAATTATCCCCAAGTGTTTGTGACTCCCTAATCATAAGGTTTTGTCCATATATATGGAAAGTTTTATTTTATAGAGGGCACTATTTAATGCATAACCTCATAACTGGTCTAAATGCTGAGAAGTCCTTAGAACTAAAATAGAAAGTGGTAATATTTACTGCAAGACCTATTTGTAAAATACATGATACAATGGATTTCTCTTGCTGTCAGTAGCTACTGAAAATATTTTTATATTTCTCTTTTGCTCATTCTTATGTTCAGAAAGAAGATATGTGCCCCATGGTTATAGATAGAATGTGAGATTGTGTGTTTGCAGAGCACTGCAAGTATCACTAGCGGGATAGAGGCAGCCTGGGGGTTTTGTACATGAGCTTTCTTGCAACTCAGACGTTGAAGGATTATTTTCTCCTTTCCAGACATTAAAATAAACTCCAGGAGAAACTTGTTCTTTTGAGCAAAAAAAAAAAAAATGCCATGGATGATAGCAAGCCAGAGACAGAAATAATTGCAAAATATGCAAGTCAAAACAAAAATTCCTAATTCTATTTCAGCCATAAATGGAAATGAATGGTGCCTAGTCTTAAATCAAGTGACTGACATTTCTTTTTCAAATCAAAGCAACTCCAGAAATTTCGAAGGGACGGGAATTTGATCAACTGAAGACGGCTTTCTTTTCCTGACCTAGTAAATGAGTCCTTCACTAAGATTCCCAAACACAAGCTCTACAGTCAGGATAATGGAAGAGATGCTGTGCGTACCCATGCACAGACAGAGAAGATTCAGTGCTTTCTATTTGCTCAGAGGTAATGCCCTGCACACTCTGACATGCACAGCCACGCTTTCATTCTACCCTCGCTTCTGTAATCATTGACCTAAAGTCCATAAGAGGGTTCAGGTACATTAACTTACCTAAAACTATTCTAGTAGAACCTCTTTATTCTCCGACTTTGCTGCAAAGGCCAAGCTCTTTATGTACTCACACAAGCTGAAATATTCCATAAGAGATCATGAAGTGCAGTCAAATTCACATTTGTTAACATTAAATAAAGCTACATTCTTTCTCTGCTTGTATGCTTTGTGTTATTACTACAGCAGAACATTTGGTTATGTTGGTTACAGCTCTGTATACATGGAATGGAAGTCATGAAATTAGAAGAGGGACTAAACGTTAATATCCCACATATTCCAAGATTACAGACTGAGTTCCAGGACAGCAAGGCTATCAACCAAGAGAAGACTTGTTTCAAAAAATGAGAAATGGTTAAAATCCCCTGCTTCTCCTTGAGGTTGCACAATATCATTTGAACTTAATGTTCTCTCCCATGGTTTATGAAGGCAGAATTCTTCTGAGTGACTGTAAGAAACTGAGTGCGTCTCCTTTTCTTGTTCTAAGATCAAGGAAGAACATCTGTCATCCTAGATCACTGTGACAATCAAAGAACTAACACAAAAGAGAAACCAAGCAGTAACTGCACATTTCTGTGTGATGTTACTGTGATCGTGAGATCTTCTTAGGGTACATAGCCTAGGGTGCTAGGTCTTGATGAGTATGGGATTAATATCATGAAATAGCATCTTGTTGAAAAAATTGTTTAAACTATAACTTTGGCTTAAATATTTGATGGTAAATAAGAAAATGCATCACTGCTCACTGACAAATTGAGGAGTCAAAATGCATTTGGCAGACTGTCATCTATGACTTGAAGAGTCAACAACACATTTGAGACGTTTTTCTACCCTGAGGGAAGAAAGTGTTGATAATATTGAATAAAATAAGTGATGCATGAAACAATACTCTTCAAAAAATAACAGGAATTCTAGAAAACGGGAATCATCCATCAAATGATATATCTCTTACAAATTACACAAAGGCAAGACCATGAGTCAATACAACTTTGAAATGTTGATATTCAAAAAAAGAATTAAAAAAATAAAATGCCTCCAGGTTCTGTCTATTACAAATAATGCCACTATGAACATAGGTGAACAGATGTCCTTATTGTATGCATGTGCTTCTTTTGGGTATATGCCTAAGAGTGGAATTGCTGGATCTTGTGGTAGACTGATTCCCATTTTCTTGAGAAATTGCCATACTAATTTCCAAAGTGGCTGTATAAGTTGGCATTCCCACCAGCAGTGGAGGAGTGTTCCCCTTTCTCCACATCCTCTCCAGCATAAATTGTCATTGGGTTTTTTATTTTAGCCATTCTGACAGGAGAAAGATGGTATTTCAGAGTTGTTTTCAGTTGCATTTCCTTGATGGCTAAGGATGTTGACACTTTCTCATTTGTCTTTCAGCCATTTTATATCCCTTTATTGAGAATTCTCTATTTAATTCCACCTTTTAATTAGATTATTTGGTGTTTTGTTTTTTCCTCCATTTTTTATTTAAATTAGAAACAAGATTGTTTTACATGTCAATCCCAGTTCCCTCTCCCTCCCCTCCTCCCCTGCCCCCCACTAACACCCTATCTATCCCATACCATTTCTGTTCCCCAGGCAGAGTGAGGTCTTCCAAGGGAGTCTTCAGAGTCCATCATATCCTTTGGGATAGGGCATAGGCCCTCCCCACTGTGTCTAGGCTGATAGAATATCCCTTTATGTGAAATGGGCTCCCAAAGTCCATTCCTATGCTAGGGATAAGTACTGATCTACTACAAGAGGCCCCATAGATTTCCGAGGCCTCCTCACTGACACCCATATTCATGGGATCTGGATCAGTTCCATGCTGGTTTCCCAGCTATCAGTCTGGAGGCCAAGAGCTCCCACTTGTTCAGGTCAGTTGTTTCTGTGGGTTTCACCAGCCTGTTCTTGTCCACTTTGCTCATCACTTCTCCTTCTCTACAACTGGATTCCAGTTCAGTTCAGTGTTTAGCTGTGGGTATCTGCTTCTACTTCCATCAGCTGCTGGATGAAGGCTCTAGGAAGTTCATCAATCTCATTATCAGGGGAGGGCATTTAAGGTAGCCTCTCCACTGTTGCTTAGATGGTTAGTTGGTGTCATCTTTGTAGATCTCTGGACCTTTCCCTAGTGCCTGATTTCTCTTTTAATCTATACTGGCTTCCTCTCTGATGGTATCTATTTTGCTCTCCTCTATTCTTCCCCCTACACAAACTCCTGCTCCTTTACATCCTCCTCACTCCTCCTCTTCTGCCCTTCTCATTCTCCTAGCTCCCTGTCCCCTCCCCACATGCTCCCAATTTTCTCTGGAGGAGATGGAGGTAGGAGGAGGGGTGGGAGGGAGAACTGTGGTTGGAATATAAAATGAAATAAAAACATTTTTTTACAAGTGGAAAAAAAGAAAGAAAACAAAACCACAAACTAACAAATGTTGAAGTATGTTATGATATCCTTTATTAATAGTAGCAGTATCAATTTGGAGAATCATTTTGAAAGATATGATAGATGATATTTAAAAATGTATAACTCTCTAGAATAAACTCAATACAACAATTTTCAATTTTCAGTTACAGAAAATATTGTAAATTAGTTATATGGCAATTAGACAGAGCTTAAAACTTACAATGTTATCATTGAAGGCCTAAAATAAACAACTAGGCTTGAAACATAACTGAATAACAGTATCAAGAGTACAGGTCATAAGATTGCAATACACAGAAACATCATTACTTTAAACCAATGTTTTTTCTTTTCATTTTTTGCACAGGGTAATCTTTGGGGGATATAAAATACTTAATAACACTAAGGACTTATTAATAAAACTATGATTTGGAAGACAAAATTAGAGTTAATGGCATTTGTAATTTGATAGACACATATTTGTTGGTTATCTGGAAGTCAAGTAGAAACCCATTTCTACTTGACCATGGATTTTAGCTTCAAGGTTTTTGATATATAAAATGACTCACTTCTTAAAGTGTTAAAAAGAGGAGCTCCAGTGTAATGGTGTTGAGTGGTGTGCATGCAAACCACCTACAATACAGAAATAGCTTGCCTAAAGTGCCAATATCATCACATTTGACTGAGTATCAGGAAGACAGAAGAATGAAAAATGCACAGTCAATCAGAGCCTGAATGATTGAAAAAATAAAATAATACTCAATAGGAGGCTGTAACCATAACTGCTCCTTTCTACAATTTTGTCTTGCCCACTTCTCAAATTCCTGTATGAGTCTAAACCTTGAACTTGTTCATAGACAGCCTAATG